GCAACCCATTGACATTGATGAGACCTCCTTCAAAATAATTCAAGGACCCACTGGCATGTTACGTACATTTGGGTGGCCTATCGCTCAGGTATCGAGTCTGGTTTGTCTGGGTCACAACGTTGAGCATGTCAGAGAGAGACCTCTGTGGTTCCCATCAGGGCTCATTCGGTGCCACATCGCCCCGCAACCGTTGACTAGGTGCAGTCAAATCTATCTACAGCCGGGGTCGAGCCCCGTCCGGCTTTCGCAACGAACACAATCGGCCGGCACAATTAACCGAGCCCGACATACTCGATACACTGATGTAGCGATTCATTTCCAGTGGCGACTAATAGCTTTTATCTACGGTGCAATCGTCGGGGCTTGGATAGCGACACGCGACTTTGCGTGCCCCCGGCCGGCAGGCGGGGTACATAATTGATGATGTCCAAGTGTTGATGTTACCCGGCTGGGGAATCGAGCCTTTTCGGGGGACCCCGGCACGAACGTCCGGGCTGCTGGCGCCGCCAGCTATTGCCTGTGCTCGTGCTTCTTCAGGCGAGATGCTGCTTCATGTCCTGAGCCCCACCCAGCTGGAAGTTTGCTTCTGACTTCCCCACTTAGCCCGCTTGTTGTGCTGTTGCAACTCTGCAAATCTCTTGTTGTGCTTGTTGTGCTGTTGCAATTCTGAACAATTTATTGCCCGTGACGCCGTTAATTTTTCTACCGCTATAGTTGTACTACCGCTGTAGATGCCGTATTCAGGCGGCTGCTGTCCCGTCTATTCATCGGCAGGAGTTTTTGGTCGAAAATTTTAGTGTTTGGGAAAGGATGATAATGGGGTACCGCGCTTTAATTCTACGCCATCATCTTACCGGGCTGAAATTTGTTTTGTAAACGAACAAGTTGAAAACAATACTGATACTAGTCTTCGAGTAGAGAACACAAGCTAGGGTACCATAGAGAACCAATCTCCAGGTTACACACTTTCCATTATAGCGCACCTTTATGTCCGAACATGTCTCGTGGTGTCAAACCCGTCAAGCAGCCGTCAAATAGCCATTCCTTTTACAAAGCTGCTCCAATCCTATACGTCGATGGCTGAGGTTAACCTATGTCAGCCATTTTTTTACTGAAGCTGTTCAGTGAAAACCCCATTCTCTCCACTCCGTTTGACTGGTAAGGCCCATTTTTACGGTTTTCGTCACGACAACAGGAGCCAGCCGCGCGACCGGCAAAGACGCTCGCCTTGGGTTCGGCGTCACGGCCGACACCTCCGCCGACACCTGCGCTCTACCCTCCCCTCACACGTGTTGGGAGTGCGTCACAAGAGCCGGCCGGCTGCGCCCGCCGGGCCGCCGGGCACGGACCGTGACCCCGCCGCCCTCACCCCGGGCTGGGGCAGAGGCGCCGCGCGTTATAACGCAAGTTCGGCGCGGAGGTGCGGGACATGGGAGGGTCCCGGCGACGGGGAGCAGCTGGGTCCCCCGGGACCCATCTGGGCCCACCCGCCGCGACCGCCGACCGATCAGCTACGCCCGCGACGCTAACTTGAGCCATGAAGCAGCGGTCGGCGCTCGAGCCGTCACAGGACCACTGCTGCCGCGCCGTCCGCTGCCTGCTGGGGTGACGGAGTCAGCCGCCGTCGTGGGCCATTGTCCGAGGCTCTTCAGCGGCGGGACCGGGACTGCTGGCTTTGGGGCTCGGGCAGTCTGCCTTGGCAATGGCTTGGTAACCGGATGGTGGTGCCGCAGTGGCTTGGTAACCAGACGCTTGTGCTGCACTGTCTTGGTAACCAGACGCTTGTGCCGCAGTGGCTTGGTAACCGGATGGTGGTGCCGCGATGGCTTTTATTTGCGTATCAGTCCTACGGTTATGGCTTTGGCCATCGTATATTGATCGAGAGTGTGAGACGATCAACGTCAAACGCAGGCCGTGGTAGTTTGAATACCGCCCGCTATAAATGTGGGGAACCTTTCTGTAATTCTAGACCTGAGTCATCGCCCGAAAATGACCTTTTTATCGAACTGCGGGAACATTTTCACGAACTGGTCTTTGAAACTTTTTATCGAACTGGTCTTTGGTGCATTTTCCGACCAGTGCTCATTGACCATTTATCGCACCGCTTATGATAAATTTGAAATGATGTTAAGAACGAATTGTATTTTTATATTTTGATAATTGTTACTTATTAATGCGGATCCAGGTCGCCGGTTGAATACCCTCCGCCCGGGTGGGGGAAAATTTGACCCCCTGAGATCCCAAAAGAAAAAAGGCTATAGAGCCACCAAAGACAGCGGGTGGATCAGTATGCATGCAAAATTACTTGTGTCAAAATTTGAGATCTGTAGGTCATGAACAGCCGGTCCAATAAGGTTAAACAAGGTCGAAGTCAAGGTTGTTGTCCAAGGTGTCGTCGGACCTCCTCATGCAACCGCCTTAAACCTCGATACCTGATTTAAGCAAAAAGTCACTAATGTTCAATTAAGGTCAGTTATCTTGTTTGAAACATCTATGATTTCTTGATTTCTATGATTGGTTGGTTGGTATGGTTTTCTATGATTTTTTTGTTTGTTTTTTTTTAGATTTGAAGAAGCGTCAATGATAACTCAGGGCGTTACGCTCAAAAAAAAACAAGCAAAGGGCTGGCCTGGGTCATTTAAGGTCAGTGACCTACTCTGACCTTTGAGAAGCCCATGGAAGATGCCTGTTGCGGTTCATTGCTATCAAAAAATTCGAGACGAACTTCAGAAACTCCTTCACAAAGCGAGCTGTTCAGTAAAAAGGCAGGTTGGCTTTGAATTCGGTCTGACCTTTGTACCTGGCCCTAGGTCATTTAAATTTGTTTTAATCCTAAACTCAATTATTTCGTCGCTAAAGATGCTCTCTCAGATATGTATGGATTTGTGTAACACTCTGCTGTAGCATCAAATGTAACGACTTCCCAGAAATTGTCTTTACTGACAGCCACGGCCTGACTGGCTTACCACAGGTCAACGACCTTGCAGGGTCACCTAGTTTTTTATACAAAACAGTTGCGTTATTTAATTGCCTGACACTAAGCAAAGCTAGGTGCGGCTACAATTATCTGGTATTAACCTTTGGTGGGGGTGGTGATCATAAACCTCTCGCCCGAGCGCGTGTAAAGATTGATTTGGCCGCGGGAAGTGATAATTTGTTGCAGGATGCGATGGCTAGAATGATCCAATCTTCAACCTTTTTAGGCTGGAACTGGACTTTGCTAAACACTCAGAGATCTTTCCATTCCCCTTTACCTTATGACCGTTGCGATATGTGCCGTTGTGCACATCGACGCTTGCACCCGTTGCACATCGCGTGTTCCGTCGGATAACGGACCGTCGGATAACGGACCGTCGGATAAAGCACCCATCGCCGGCCGCAGCACCAGCTGTTGACCGGCCCTCAGTCGGTGTGACTGCGCCCATTGCCTCCTGACAGGCGCCGCACCCCGTCTTTGTTGCACTGGACAGCATTACTGGGCTGTGGGAATTACTTAGACAATGCTCGTCGCAGGTGTGCACCAAAGCTGATGGCCATTGTTCAAGCCCGTTGGCACCTGTTCGCGTCAGACAGCATGTGTATGTGCGGTGATGGCGAGCAAGTGCTGGGAAGAAGATGAGGGAATGCCGCTGTCTCATAGAGTGCAATGACAACGCGATTTTACTCTGCTGTTTGCATCCCCGAGAAGGGATGATGGCAACAACCCGGGCCATCGCTGAGAAACACCACGCGGCTGAGTCAGCGTGATCTAGTGTCTTACTCTCGCGGCGCGGCGAGGACGATCAGGGCGCGGCTCAGGCCGCAGCACTCCGTCACGAGTTGGCAGACGCTGCCTGCTCATCTGACACCGGCTGGCACGCGCCAATTCCCGGGCCATCTCATCAGTCGCCCATCTTATCCGTCCGCTGATGGCCGATAAAAGGGATGACAAGTCGGCGGCGGCGCCGCGGCGTGGGCTGCGGCGGCCGGCCAGTCTATGAGCCGGCCATCAAACCCGCCGTGGCGCTTGACAGCCGCGGCGCCGCTCCCCGCGGCGGAAACGGCGCATCACCCTCCGCTGGCTGCCGCGCGCCAGACAAGCTGTTGCAGCCGGACATCCGGCGCGAGCGCCGTCGCCGCCTCCCGCCGCCCCCCCCCCCCCCCCCTCCCCCGCCCTCAGCCAGCGGGACCCAGCGAGCCGGGCAGAGCGGGGCAGGACTCTGAGCCGCTGTAAATAGAGATGGCTGGAATTGATTCGTCCCTCGCTGAGGTTTTGTCGGGCCGGCTTTGCGGTTGCTGTCGTGGCGATTGCAGAAGACCCGCTTCGTTGGATAGGCTGTGGCGCGTCGGGCTGTGATGGGAACACGGAAAGGGGGATGTCTGTATGGATTCGTATGTGGATCTTACACCACCTCAGCATACTTGCCTCGTCGTCTGGTTCAGTCGAGCTGTTAAAGTTAATTTCCAGGATGTGAAATAGTTGGTTGGCCAATGCTGCAAATATTACGTAGCGTATTGAAGACATCGCTCAACTTTGGCGACGTACTGGCCAAGCACTCGACGCTCCAGAGCCTAGAGAGATGTGAAGCTGTGTGCTCACGCTTACAAGTGAACTCGGCTAACCACAACACCTTTAAATGTGATACAGCGCGATGGTTAAGAAACAGCCCATCGTCCAGACTACTGCAATGCGAGGACAGATTTGATTTCATGGTTGCGAGCGGCGGCTGCAAGCAATATTATCGCAACATTAGTAAGCTAGCTGCTAATGAAGTGCTTGCAGCCGCCCGCGACAAACAAGAGAGAACAAAGACGGAGTGGAGTGTGCTGCTTTTCCCCCGTGTGTGAATCGGAAAACCAACCTTGATAAATTGTCGACATCGGGACAAATGACGTCGTATCCCAACGATTGGACAAACGACCTCTCTCCAATCTTTTTGTGGCCGGTGGCAGCCCGGGCCGGGGCGGCGCGCTCAGTGGAGGCCCGTTCCGCCACCGCTGACCGCGCACCCGTGTCGCAGGATGGGCTCGGCGGGCCTGGGCCCCACCGGCAACGGCCGGATACCGGACGGCCTCGCGCGGGACCAGCCGGACCCGGACGCCATCAAGATGTTCGTGGGCCAGATGCCGCGACACATGGACGAGAACGACATCCGCGCCATGTTCGAGGAGTTCGGCCCTGTCCACCAGATTAACGTTCTGCGAGACAAGGTTACCGGACAGAGCAAAGGTCAGTGCGTGCCGGTTGAGGTCAGGGGCGCTGTCTGAGATTGGCGGCAGTGGAGCGCCCCTTTGACACGCTGGAGGCCACAACGGCCGCCTGGCAGTGCTTGGTCAAGTCATTTGTTGTAATGGGTTGTCATCTCATTGCTTGGATTGTTTGGGATTGTCAACTGTACAATCGCAGCGCACACGGGAGGGGGCAGTGTTCGGGCCGCACAATTTTGAATGTACAGGGCTGGACCCCTGTTGCGGTTGGGCAATGATCAGCTGTCACTAACGGGCCATAAGATACAAATGGCAAAGACCATTGTGTGCTGGCCGCTAAAAGGCGGGTCTGTAACGACCTCAGTGATCATTTATCTGGATTGGTTGGCGGCCAGTGGTCACTGGCTATTGTTTATGAGTTGTTGGTTGTTCGCCGCGGGGAGCGCTGGCATCGCTATAACGCTGGCAGCGGTCACTGACTATTGTTTATGGGTTGTTGGTTGTTGGCCGCGGGGAGCGCTGGCATCGCTATAACGCTGGCAGCCCGACCTAAAGACTCAGTTTTCCCAAAATGCCAGCCGGCAGCCCGGCCCGCCCCGGCCAGTTAGGGCTTCGCCCGCGGACGGACGCTGTGCGGCGATGCTGACCCGCCATTAACTCGCGAACAGAAAACAAGTCCAAATCAGACATGTCTGTTGAAAACGTGTGGCAATGGCAGTCAGAGTGAAACGAATCATACGCGAAAGCCACCGTTTTTGTGGTTGTAAGTCGCATGCTCTTTAGGTATAAACAAACAAGCTCTATGTCATCGCCAATGCCCATTTCTATTTCGGCAACTGTTGCTCAATTGGTACGCTAGCAACTACGGGCTGTATCGACAAAATATTGAGACTAGGGCAATACGAGCCGTATATTTTCCCGTTTAGCATATTCATCATTTGGATTGATTATAAGGCATGGTCTGTGCAGGAAACAATACAATTTAAGCGTTTCTCGCCTTCAGTGACAGCCAATCGCAGGGTGTGGCTGTATTCATCATGATGACACCTAGCTTCTGCTGAATGAAATCGGACAATGCGTGGAAAATTGGGGCGTTTTTCTTGAGTTTTTTTTGTTGAGATGGGTACTTAAAGTTGTTTTCAGTTTGCGCAACCTGGTTCACTGATGTGCCAGGTCGGCCATGGGTTTACTGACATGGGAGCTCTTAGTATAAAAATCGAAAGTGTGATTTGTTCATAATTTTATTATGCTTGGCAGCACTGTCTGGTTTTTCGATAATATGATGCCATAGATAAAAGCACATGCATTGTTTTGATCGTTAGCGTCTTTGATGGGCAAAACCCAGCCAAATCCGGCCCACAACCCGTCCACAAGTCCGCAGCTTCTTGCGGGTCAGATGTTGGTGGGTTGGTGGGTTGCAAAAATTCGTCTGCAGTCAGAAGGCACTGTTCAGAGCATGCTAAGCGCTCGGCTCGCCCTCGTCAAATCAGACACCACCAACACCACCCGGAAAGCTCCTTGTTGTAACGTACAGCATCGCCGTGTCGCTGCTCGGAAGCCAGAACGGCAGGCGTCGCACTGTCACCGACCCACAGAACGGCGGCTTTCGAGCCGAATCAAAGCGGACGGGACCCACAATCGGCACTCCAGGCCGGAGACGCCTCCCCGATAATCCATTCCCGTTGTTTTAATGAAAACCGCCGCGTATCGGCCCCGATTCGTCCCTGAGAGACCCTGGCCGCCGCTGGCCGCGATTGGCCCTATGTTTCAAGTTAGGCAGGCCGGGTCATCGAGCCGGCTGTTAGTCCAAATGGCCGCCCTGATCGGCCGCCCGGGCCGCGCTCCGGTCAGACGATTGGCCCCCGCGGGGGCCCGGCGCCGCCGCCGACCGACGCCTCCCGATCCGGTCACAAATTGACACGAGCCCGGCGGCGGGGTGCCGCGGTGGCCGCCCCAGTCGCGCTGGTACCGGCGGCACAGAGCGAGAGGTGGGGCAGGCCGGCTGGCGGCGCGGGGAGGGGGGGCGCAGGGGGCAGCCCGGCTGACAGCGCTGAGGGGGGGGGGGCCTGCTGCGGTAGGCGGGGCGGGGAGAGGGCACAGGATAGCAGCTCGGTTGACGGCGCCTGCTGCTGTCGGGGCTCGTCGCCGATCAGTACGTGCGTTGGATCTGATGCAACCCATACACTGAGCTACTGATTGAAGGTGACAAATTTCGAACACCGCGCTGCGAGTGTCGGACTAAATCTCCTTTGTCAAACAGCATCGGAACGTGATCTGGGCACTGAGCATGCACTCCTGCTGCAGAAGAGCGGTGTGTATGGTAAGTCATTGACCGTGGCTAGAGTTTTATTCAGAGCAGCCGTCGTCTTCAATCCTGTCACGTAATCTACATAAATACATGACCGCAGATTAGGCTCGCGCGCCGCGCCGTCCCTGTCGGTCGTGCCGTGACCATTGGGAGCGTCGGAACAAGTGCCGGCGGACGTTAATTGCTCGGACGCCCTGCTATTCCGCTTTATGGCCGGCGGTCCGATGGCTTGCTCTGGGGCCGGAGTGCAAGCACTTTATTGCGCCGACGCCGCTATTAAATCGATATATCGGCTGTATTGCCGGGGGTCGCCGGTTCGCACAAGATCGACGGCGGCGGCCGGTGCCGGTCGGCTGTCCGTGCTGGTCCAGCGCCTGTTGGGGTTAGGGGGTTAGAGCGGTGGTGCCGCCGTCCTGGACGGCAGCCGCTGGTCCGACCCATCCCCCCCCCCCTGAGGTGACCCGTCAGTGGGGCGGGGTCGTCCGGCCGGCCGCGCCGCGCGCACAAAGACACCCATCGACTAAGCGGCCGCGGCCGGTCGAACGATTGGCCATCTGTCAGCCGGACGATCGGACTGACCGTTTGCCCCGGGGCCGGTGGTCAGCCTGGCCACCGGTCAGCCCTTGTGATGTCCGGGGCCGGGCTCTGGGCCTGGGGGCACTGTACAGCCTTAATGACGCACAGCTGTGTGATCTTGTGTTGTTGGATATGCGTCGCGCTAACAGTTAAAAGCGCATGAGAAGGCATGTAGAAATTACGTGCTGCGGGAGGTGGCGTTAAGTTTACATATCCCCAAACGGCACTTCAGTTTTACACGTTAGAATCACAAAATTGCCTGCACGACAGGAGGACACAATAACCTATTTGGACGCAATGTAGCGACGAACGCAATTTAGGGCAGATTAATTCTGCCAAGCTAGATCAGTCTAGGAAATATATTACTCTGGCTTATCGCCAATCTTTCCGCCCCATTTCCTTCCGTTCTAACTTTATCTGGCAATAACGCCCATAATTTTAATAAGGGTTATATCATTTATTTTTCACGACATGCTAGGCTCACGTGTAAAGGAAGACAAAAATTATTATCGGTGGCGGCTTGGCTACGGATAAAGCCCACAAACAACCAGCGACAGTAGGGATTGGTCCATGGTGAAAACATCTTTTTTTTTCATTCCGATCACACACCAGCAGATATGTGTCTAGATCTTAAACATGGACCCCGGGATCATATCTCGGAGTGCTGGTTAGCGTGTCTTTTGAAAAATCAAACCCACTTTGTAATTTTGTTGACAAATATTTTGTTCAGGAATGACGTCATGTTTTGCTGATGGTCTGTTAGAGCCTTAGGTCTTTTGCATACTTTTGCAGCAGAATGTTTTGGAAATTTGAATGTCTACTATAATTTTGTCGAAAAGTTTTTGGGATCCAGTATGTCTCAGATGTAATGTTTAGAAATCTTCCACGCCCATTCATGCGAATGCTTCCAACTTGCTAAAATGGACGTCAAGCCATATATATGCGAGATAAATCCTTCCCTTTGCTTAAAATATGCGCTGTTCAATCGGAACAAGCTGATTACACCGCGGTACGTACCGCACATCTGCCCTATCACTCACCTCAATAGCATTTGACTCCCATGAAGCAGGGCCATGACGTTTTACTTTACCGTAAGGATACACACATTTCTTGTCGTGAATTCTACGCTATGCTTTGCTCTTCCAAATAACTGTTTTGGACCTGGCATTTCCCCATGTTACTGAAGGATGTCTCGAGATCTGGTATCATTTCTTAGACTGTAGGCGCATGTCTGCACACTGCAGACACCTAGTCTCTCTCTCTCTCTCTCTCTCTCTCTCTCTCTCC